TCCAACTCTACTCACTCAGGATCATGGGCGACTTCTCCACCCACAACTTCACACGTTGCACCTTACAGCCTGGTACCTAGCTGGTTAAATGAGTCGGAAGCCCAATGCTCTGCAGCTGTCAGAAATGTTCTCATACACGGCAGCCGGAATAGCACAAGAACTGCATATCTATCAAAGAGGTCTAGATTTCGAATCTGGTGCGCTGAACAATGTATGGATCCTGCAGTCACCCCCATATATTCTATACTACCATGACTGCCCCTTGCAGCCTGGGGGCTTGCTTAACCAGAGCTTCCCTAGCCCCCCAGCGGGAAGCCTCCTGCTTCCCAGGCATCTAGGTCCCTCCTGCTCTCTAGCAAGAGCAAAAATGAGCTTCCCTCTCTCCCTCAAGGAGCCCTTCTTTATATAGCCCTCATTAGCCAGAACTGCCTCATCTGGGGCTTCACTCTCAGCCCTCACTCAGGGCTGGGCTTTTGCCCTTAGAGGACCAGTGCAGGGCAAGTGCCCTGTCACAGGGCCAATCAAGAATCAGTTGAGACTGATTTAAAAGTTAGTTGGGAGGCACTTGAGGAAGGAAAGAGGCAAAGTGCAGAGAGTGAGAGGAGTCTGGGTGAGAACTGGGAGCTGCAAAACCAGAAGAGTGTGTTGGAGGAGCAGGACAAGCTGCTCAGGTACCAGAAGAAGGGAAGTAGTTGCTAGATGGGAGTAGAACAAGCCCCATCTGTTGCCACTACCTTAGGGTCCGTGGACTGGAACCCAGAGTAGTGTGCATGCCTGGGTTCCCCCCAGCCCTCTCCACACCACTACTGGATCTATCCCTGCATAGGTAGGCCAGGACTATAGAGAGGTTTCACCCCTATATTATGGACTAGTTGTGATGAGCATGGCTCAGTAGTCTGTGAACCCTGCTGCTAGTAAAGAAAGAGGACATGTGGTGGGACACAGTGAGCCTTTGAGGCTGAACACTATCTGCCAGAAACACACAGGCACAGCCAGAGCTCTGCCACAACATAAATTAAATTAGTGCATGCTATTCGCTAAAAGAAGATTTAGAAATAGACAATAGAATGAAATTGGATTTATGACGACTGACAATTAGTTGCATGTCCCTCAGGAGCAGGAATTCACTTTCTCCCATCTATGGTGTCCGCTTAGAAATAGGATTAATGGAATAAGAAGGCCTGGGCTTAATCTGTAGCAAGAGGGATTAAGGTACAACATTAAAAAGAACTTTCTAACTGTAAGAATAGTTAAGCTCTGGAATAGAGTTCCAGGAAGGTTGTAGAATCATCATCATTGGAGGTTTTTAGGCACAGGTTGAACAAATACCTGTCAGAGAGAGTGTACTTCAGGGGAACCAACAGCCATGGTCAAGGTCGGGGAAGTGCTCTGCACTCCCAGAAAGGATGGGACCTCAGACAGAAGGGGTGGGGCCAAGGGCAGCCAGCCCTCGGTGCTGCCCAGATCACAGCACCATCTGCCAGTGCTGCCTAGAACATGCTCTGAGATGCCTCCGCCTCTCCAGGCAGCCCTAAGAGCTGCCCAGAGCATGTCACATGGTGCTCTAGTGATGATTTAAAGGGCTCAGGGCTTTGGGCCCCTTTGAATCACTGGGCCCCAGGACAGTTGCCCCCATTGCACCCCTCTGTTTGTGGGCCTGGTCTGCTTGGTCCTGTCTCAGTGCAGGGGGTTGGACTTGATGATCTCACACAATCCCTTCCAGCCCTATATTTCTGTGATTCAAAGTTAATTCAAGAGAAGATTTCAAATCAAGCTATGGAGAATAAATTGGGAGCCGAAGAGGAAGCCGTTTCAGACATTTTTAATCTAACTTAATGATGTTCCTTTTTGACCTCAGAAGGATGCTGTGAGGGTTAATGCATGAATGTTTAAAAAGCACTGTTAAAGTCTCAAATCATAAGTTATGACACTGTTTCTTAAAGCTATCTAAAGGTGTCATCTGTATTCAGTTGAGAAAACTTTGACAGAGTTAACATCTTTCTTCTTGTATAGTTCAGAAGACTTTTAAGGACTTTTTAAAGTGGCAGTTAATACTGAGCCTCTTTCTACTCTTCATCTGCCTCAACTGCTGAAGTTCAGATTGTGCTAGAGCTGTTAGGAAGCGAATAATTAGTGAATCATGTAATTGATAGAATTTCTATTGACTATATAATTAGTGCGGCTCTTTACTTCAAATGTAGTAAAAGCCAGGTGAGCAGGCAGCCCAGCTCCTACTACATTTAAACTGCAGAGTCACAGTAGGTGTAGGTCCCAGACTCGGCGTGAGCAAGTCCCAGATCCAGGACTGAGCCAGGCTTGCTCAGTCTAGCCTCGCGCCAGCTTCTGCCAGAGAAGCCTGTGTTCATGGCCAGCCTGGACAGCAGGCAAAAGGGAGGGAAGGCTGGCGGCATCACTGATAGAGGCAGCAGCGCAGCGGGGAGGCAGGTGGCACCACTGAGTTGGTGCTGGGGGGAACCGGCTTTTAAGCCAGCTCCCGCCCAGCACTGGCTTCTGCTCTCCCAACCCCGCTGTCTCTGAAACAGAGGCAGCAGGGGAGGCAAGAAATGCAAGTAGCCAAGTGGTCGGCTCGACAACCCAATAAGCCTAGGCTATTGTAGTCAACTACTCATGTCCCTAGACTGAACTCTGTAATATTGAAGAGCCTGTGCAGGAGGCAACGAAGTAAAGGATGTTAAGAAAGCTGACAGGCAAGAAGGAGAAATGTTTGTTCTGTTGCTAACCTTTGTTTAAAAGAGGTTTTTTCCTTACACAGAGGATTTAATAGACAAACATTTTTCTCCCTCAGAGAGACTGACACACAAAAATGTGGGTATGTAGTGTTTCCAGAAACATTTAGAAAGCTGAACTGGAAGGTTTGGCCCTACAGGCATGAGAAGAATGTACAGGGTTAAGAGATCAGCATAAAAACAGCACTGATATGTAACACTTAATTCAGATGGATGAGTTTCACTGGGAAAAACTTGTCCTTGTGGGGAAGAAACAATAGCCTGGCATGACAGATCTTAGATTCATTTCCATGGATGGGGAATACGAGGCATTGATTTAAATTGGGTCTGAATAAATCATACAGTAACTGTTTGGACTTGTATGTAAATTCCATCATTGCCAGTGGACCTCTCCGAGGATCTCTTCTGCACAGCTGGATGAGTTGTCTATCAATAACCTTATAACTGTCCTACTGCTCCCTCCCAGAGCTGGCACACTTCCCCCACCCAAACTCCCTCTCAGAGCCTTAGGTGAGGCGAGGGAAGTTTGAGAGGGGGAAGGGTGTTGGCTCTGGGCATTCTGGGCACCACCAAAATTTTTGCAAACCTGCTGCTCCTGGTTAAAGGGATAGGTAACTCCCCCCCCAACTTTCCCACAACCCCCGCCCCTCCCCTCAGTCTTCTCCTTTCCAAACTAAACAAGCCCAATTCTTTCAATCTTCCTTCATAGGTCATGTTCTCTAGACCTTTAATCATTCTTTTTGCTCTTCTCTGGACCTTCTCCAATTTCTCCACATCTTTCTTGAAATGTGGTGCCCAGAACTGGACACACTACTCCAACTGAGGGCAAATCTCGTCAATTAAATGATTGCAGACTTAAGTTCTTAATCTCCTGTTTGTTATGAAGCCACTAATGAATTTGCAGAGGCAACCTTAATTATGTCTGCTCTCAAGGCTTAGATAACTATTGTATGCTGTTTTTCATACAGATTTCCTGGGGAGCATTTTCTGGTATTTTGAATGTATGTATCCCCTTTCAAAACAGACAATCTCAATGTTTTACCATGAGTATATATAAAAAAGAATTACTTCATCCACCAGTGAAATGCAGTCACCTGGGATGAAATACTCAAAGTACATTACAGTTTAGAACAGGAAGTGAGGAAAATACTGTAACCAGCAGGAGGAATTAAGGGAGACAGTGTAATTACTGAGATTTGGAATTTGGCTAGAGTGCCACGCTTGAGTGCCATACCTCTGATTTGCATTCTCTTTCATGTTTTAAGTAAGCTAGCACTGAAACCCGCTTTGAGCACAGGAGCAGTTAAACAAGTCCAGGTATTCTTTATGGGATAGTCTGCATCTGGTGCATGTTGGTATGTCTCCTGCAAAGCACCACCCTCACATTTTCACTTTTTTATCAGACTTGGATTCAGGGGAGTGTGGTCCTTTACATCATCCAGCTATTCTCTCATTTGCCCATTTGAGCTTCTTTAATCATGCAGTCACAATAAATCTAAAGTGTTCTAAAGCTTTTGGGTTTGTTTGTTTATTATACAGGTCAGTCCAGGGCAACCATCATACCCCCAAAGCAGCCCCGGCAGCCAAAGGGAGCTTTGGATGATGCCATTGCCTTTGGAGGAATAGCAGACCAAGAGGCAACTAACAGCTCACAGCCAACACCTCCTCCCCTGCCGAAGAAAACCATTTTGAGAGCCAACACAGAGCCAAACCCCAGAGAACTCCAGAAGCAGATCCTGGAGAGCAATCTTTGTGTTGTGGCCAACCCCACATACGACATTGACACCAACTGGGAAGCAAGCAGTGCCTGCTCTTCAGTCAGCTCAGAGCTCAAGGCACTGGACATTGAGTCTGGAGATTCCTTGGACAGACCTTCAGAAAAAGGAAAAGCAGCCAACTCAGCAGCCAACAGCGTTTCAAGCCTAACCATTCTCAGTGTTAAGGATAGGTGCTCCAACAGCTTGGAGTCTCTGTCTGGGCAACGCATCTCCCAGACTAAGCAGAGCAAAAATATACAGAAGCCACAGAGACAAGCACTTTATCGAGGAATTGAGAACCGAGAGGAGGTGGTAGGCAAAATCAGAACCCTTCATGCTGATTCACTGAAGAAGTTGGCGAACAAATGCGAAGATCTTTTCATGGCTGGACAGAAAGACCAGCTGCGATTTGGGGTGGACAGCTGGTCAGACTTCAGGCTAACCAGTGACAGGCCATGCTGTGAAGCAGGCGATGCAGTTTATTATCCAGCTTCTTATGCAAAAGATCCCCTCAACAATTATGCAGTCAAGGTAAGAAGGAGAGTTCAAAAATAGTTGTCCCCAACATTAATAATAATAATTGCTCTTTGTGTTTAGTTTACCCAATTGTGCTGTTTTCAATGGTTAATCCATGGATGGTATTGATCTGCAGTCACTGGACTTTCTTAAAGTGCCACTGTTGTCAATGGCAGAATTAACCTTTAGCTACGTCAACTGTATGTTTGGGGCAATTCTTTAAATGCCACCAACTCTCTTACTAGCTGTTTAGCATAACTATTATGTAATGACATAAGAACAGTATAAACAGCTGTGTTTTGAATGCATAGAATGCAGAGAGGTGTTTGGAATCCTTTAAGGTTTATTTGTATGCACAGTCACCTGGATTTCAAAGGTTTTTATTCATGGCTGTTCATGGATTTTATTGATATACATTCCTAATTAGTATGCCTTTCCATACACTTATATCCTTATCAGCAGGGCTTGACAAACCGCGGCAAAATCCACTCACCAGCCCCGCATTGCACATGCGCATGCGCCAGAGCCGCATTGCGCATGTGCGCGCTGCCAGTGAACAGGGCGACTGGCTGAAATCTACTCAGTAGATACACTGATTTGTCGAGCCCTGCTTATCAATCATTCTGAAGCCCTATCTTGCTGTCAGCGTGGGTTTCCATTCATGTTTACTAGATCACAGAACTAAACAATGTTGATTTCAGAGAGAGAGAGAGAGAGAGAGAGAGAGGTTTTGGAGTCATTGTGGATAGTTCTTTGAAAACATCCACTCAGTGTGCAGTGTCAGTCAAAAAAGCAAACAATGTTCGGAATCATTTAAAAAGGGATAGCGAATAAGACAAAGAATATCTTATTGCCTCTGTATAAAACATCGTATACCCACATCTTGAATACTGAGTACAGTATTCAGTACTCAGTGATCTGAAGAAGTGGTTCTGCCCCACGAAAGCTCATCACCTAATAAACTATTTTGTTAGTCTTTACAGTGCTACATGACTGCTTGTTTGTTTTACCAAGTTCAGACTAACATGGCTACCTCTCTGAAATTACAGATGTGGTCACCTCATCTAAAAAAAGATATCTTGACATTGGGAAAGGTTCAGAAAAGGGCAACAAATATGATTAGGGGTTTGAAACAGGTCCCATGTGAAGAGAGGATAAAAAGATTGGAACTTTTCAGTTTAGAAAAGAGGAAACTGAGGCGGGATATGATAACGGTCTATAAAATCATGACTGGTATGGAGAAAATGTATAAGGAAAAGTTATTTACTTATTCCCATAACATAAGAACTAGAGTCACCAAATGAAATTAATAGGTACCAGGTTTAAAACAAACAAAAGAAAGTATTTCTTTGTGCAGCACAGTGTCAACTTGTGGAACTCCTTGTCAGAGGATGTGTGAAGACCAGGACGTTAACAGGGTTCCAAAAAGAACTAGATAAATTCATGGGGATAGGTCCATCCGTGTTTATTAGCCAAAGTAGGTAGGAATGATGTTAGAGGCTGAAAATGGATGACAGGGGAGTGATCTGGGGCATCTGGTATTGGCCACTGTTGGAAGACAGGATACTGGGCTAGATGGACCTTTTGGTGCTCACACTTCCACTGCTCATGAGGTGACAGTGGTCATCTTCTCTTGGGTTTATATTTGTTCAGCCATCCAGGCTCTCTATTGTTGCAAAGATCACAGATGTAATGTTTGTGCATTATAAGACGATGAACTGAACTGTCTACTAACTCAAAACAATAGAGAACCGGGACATGAATAAGTTGATTATATATTATTTGTCTGGCAATGTTGTATGGTTGCAAAATCAATGGTTTTCCACTGATGTTTTGTTGTTGTTGCTTGTAATGATGCAGAAATAATCTGCCAGAAAGAGGTGGCAGGTGGTTTGCTTGTTCATGCACTATAACTAGCCAGCAGACTTACAGTTTGACTAGCCAACAGACCTATAGAGGGAAGTGTTATATTAAATGTGGAATAAAAATGCTTTGTTGATTAACGTGACTTAAAGCCTTTCTAAACATGCAGTCAGTTGATGCTCTGGAGGTGGGTTTCAGTTTGTTTTTTAAATGTATTTTAAAAGGAAAGAAATAACCAAATGTTCATAGCCAAAAAGAAGAGTGAAGCCAAATGTGTGCTGGGTTTTTTTTCTTTGTTATCAAAAACATGGTTGAAAATCAGTTCACAAACTAACAGGAATTAACTGTAGCCTAATAAGTATGATGGTCTCTAGACTGAAGGATCCATAAAATACTATTCATTCCTTTGGAGTGTTATACTTTCATGGCGAGAGGAACAGTTAAGCTTGAAAACAACTTCCCTGGCAGCAAATGTGATATAGGAAGATACTTTGAGTACAAATGCTCACTGATTTGTAAGCAAAGCAGTGCTAGCTGAAGGGATTGCTCTAGTCTTTCCATTTTCTCCTTTTCATATCTTCAAACATGCTTTCAACCAAGACTGGCTCACTTTATTTGTATGTTTCCTTGATGGATTTTTTTTGTTGCTTTGCCATTCTCTAAAGTATAGTTAGAAACTCACTTTTAAAGAGGTTTATAACTCTGCTATAACATTTGGCTCCAGGCTGAGCCATGATGTACAATATCTCAGTCCACAATCAAGTGTTTTTGAAAATATAATGTAAAAAAAAAAATCAATTGAACTGTTGTAAATTAAGAGTGTTAGCAAAAGCAGCAGAAGTTTACTCTCCTGCAGATTTTTTTACACTAACTACATTTTGTAATTAACCATCTGCATGTGAATGTGCTATGCTTCTGGCATTTTATACCATGAAAAAATATAGATGTTGAGATCAAATCCTACTATGAATTCATAGTATTGACTGCTTATGATGGTTAGACAACTATAGTCAGGGCTCGACAAATTATACAATCTACTCGCCCGTGGCAAATAGATTGTAACCCGGAAGAGCCGGGTTCAGGCGATCTGCGCATGTGCAGAACGCCGGACAGCGCGGCTGGCAAGCAGGGCTTGCCGCGGTTCAGTATATAGTAATAAAAGAATCTTACAAGAAGGTGTCTTAAAAGTTTGCAAGCGGCCATTTGCAAGCGGCCTGTGCTGCATGGGGAGTGCGGACCCCAAACAGCCGCTTGCACCGCTTGCTCCCACACGGTGGCCCAGCTGAACGGCACAGAAGTCAGCCGAGCGCTGGAAGGAACAGCCAGGGAGCGGGGTCTGGATGAGCATGCGTCTCTGACGTCAGGAAAGGGCGCCAGATTCAAAAGGAGGAAAGCGGAGGAGACAGAGGAGAACAGGAGGCGGAGAGTAGGCGGAGAACAGCGAGAGAGAGAGATGCAGCAGGAGGAGAAGAGAAACAGAATGAGAGGCGGGAGGGGGAGAAGAGAAAGGAAGAGAGAGGCAAGAGGCAGACAAGAGCTGAGAGAGAGAGAGAGAGAGGCCGTTTGCGCCACTTGCTCCTGCATGGTGGCCTGGCTAAGCGGCACAGAAGTCAGCCAAGCACTTCTGCGGGAAGTGAAGGGCGAGGGGCAGTGATGTACACACCCAGGGGGCAGGGCCTGGACAAGCATGCATCCCAGACGGAGACAGAGGAGAGCGAAGAGAGAGAGAGGCAGGAGGGGGAGAAGAGAAAGAGAGAAATGGAGAGAGAGGCAGAAGGCGGAGGAGAGTTGGGGGGGAGGGGAGGCAAGTGGAGAGAGAGAGACGGAGTGAGAGACCGGAGGCTCAGGAGAGAAGACAGACGTGGAGGAGAGACCAGAAAATCCCGTCTTATGACGGGCTAATTGGCTAGTCATCTAAGAATCTGGTTCAAGGCTTGACAAACCCTTACTACATCCATGACTATATTAGATCTGAAAGAGATTTTAACAATGGAATATTTTTTCTTTTTATGACTTTACAAAAAACAAAAGACAACAAACTACAAAATTATAATGGCAGTTTTAATAGGTGTAGAAATGTAGCCGTGTTAGTCTGGGGTAGCTGAAGCAAAATGCAGGACAATATCACTTTTGATCTGAGGAAGTGGGTCTGGCCCACGAAAGCTCATCATCTAATAAACCATCTTGTTAGTCTTTAAAGTGCTACATTGTCCTGCATTTTGCTTCAGTTTTAATAGGTGTGAGTGATGGAAAACCAGCTAGTCCCCAACTCATCTCTTTTGCCGAAGTCCAGGTCTTAAACTGGAAGGCCAGTTTAAGGTATGCAACTCCAGCTACGTAAAATTTGTAGCTGGAATCAGCTTACCTTAAGCCAAGCTTAGTGCTGTCTTCACAGCGGGAGGCTGATGGGAGCAAATGTTTCCCTTATTCCTCACAACTGTGAATACAGGTGCCAGCTGAAGCTGCTCTCAGCTGTCGATTTACGGGTTTTAACTAGACCTGCTAAATCAAACGCCAGAAGAGTGATCTCTGGCATGACAAGTAAAGATGTGCCCTAGATATTGCAGGAATAAAACTGTAAGGGAGTAAAATTTTAGCCATGGAATGTGTCAGGAGATACTTGCTAGCTGAATAAATGAGCATGCAGTTCTTAGTCATGCTATTTGTGATAAATTTCCTTTAGTCCCATCTCCTAACAAGTGTCCTTTCCAAAAATGTCCAAAAAACCATGTGCAAACAATACAAACCCAAACAATAGATCCAGCTCAGAATTGTATTTCAAACAAGCAAATACAAGGATCTCTTTACAAAGCTTTTATAAAATTCCTGGCCCTTGGGTATTTTCTTTTCACAGACAAGAACTAATACATGTTCTAAATGAGTGGTCACCAACCAGTAGATCCTGATCTACTGGTAGATCTTGGAACTTTTCACAGGTGATCCTAATAGGTTTGGCTGGGAAGCTATCAAGTGCCAGCACTTCATCTGCCCCTCTCAGTACTGCCATGCTGTTCCTGCCCTCTGCCTTGGAGGTGCCCCTCACCCACAGGAGCCTCCTGCTTGCTGTGCAGGGCACAGGAGCAGGGGTGCAGAGGTTAGGGTGCCATAGAACAGGAGTGGGGGCAAGGATGGAGAGATTTTGCTGGCTGCTT